TAACGGGATGAAATTATCGCTAAGAGACGTGGGAGGCTGAGAAAAGATTACTGTTCTATCAGGAAAATGCGCCAGTGCACAAATAAATTCCGTGGCTACAATCCACGAATGTGGCTTTGAACTCCTTTAGTACCAATAGTATTCTCCTGATCTGGCTCCGTCCCAAACTTGAAGAACCCTCCGGCCGTGACACATTTCGAGTCGAACGATGACTTCATAGCAGCTGTGGAGAACCTTTTGGGCATCCAAGAGAAGATATCCGCGAAACTGGAATAAAATCCCTCCAACATCGTTGGCAGCGTGTATCAATATGGAAGGGGTTTACGTTGAAAAATCAATTTAATCTCTTTAGGTCAACACTCTCTTATCAATCACCCATCGTACATTGGTTCTTTTTCAAAGTAAGTTTTCAAATCTGTTGTTTTTTTCACTTCATCTTATAGAGATATTTTAAAGATATACTGGGAAATGTTACGTCATCACCTATTTCGAGAAGGTACTGGTGGCCCAATATCCTAAGCCATGACAATTCGCTGTACAGAGTTGTGTCCCTTAGGCGTACCAGAAACTGCTTCTCCCTCGTTATGGTCCCTGATTTGTCGGCGCCATACCTGTGCTCGTGAGTAATAAGCCTCTCGATCTCATTAAAATCAGACACCTCCACAGAAGTTTGTGTCAAGTGAACCCTGAGCGAACGTTGGCCGCCCAATCATAATGAAGGATACGTGGATTCTTAAGCCAATGAGATGTCAGCTTTCTAAAAGGATTCGGCTTCGTTTTTTTACCACCACGTTTCGAAAATTCTGATTCTAGAGGCCGAAGTGGGGAACGTTACCGAGATTCTGTACTTAAGATGAAAGCACGTGTATGTTATGGATCAACATAATTTTTTTTATCAGAGAGTCCAAAGTGACCCAGAATCCGATATTTTTCAAAAAACTTCAAATATGTCGATTTGTTATCAAAGCCATAGTTGTCATTCAGGTCAAAATTCGACAATATTTTACTGTCTTTAATTCTATTTTCTGTACAGTGCAATGACCCTTCTTATAGAGAACAAATTGTCGAGTTATTAAAGAAACGTGAAAGATGGAAGAAAAAGTAAAAGCATATGTAAGGGTATCTAGGACAACAGATACCCACAATGGTAGTCGAAATGCGTCCTACATCATCACTCGTTACGTGGAAAACATCACTGTCTTGTTTGTGGAAGTATACAGATTCAAATAAACGAATATGTGGATGACTAATCCTCCCTCATGGTTCAGGGCGTCCAGTAACAGGTTAATTGGTGTTGCCCTCATCTAAAAAAATTCTTCATCAAATCTTCAGGTGTGAGTATAGAGCATAATCCTGGCAAATACTTAATTTGGTTTAGCCCAGGACAAGGTATGACAAGGGTCATTTGTGAAATGAGCGAATGTTTAGAAATTGTCATGATGTTCATAGCTGTGTTCATGCGAATATAAATTAGACTTTGTTCTTTTGGACAATTGCATGTTTAACAACAAACGTTTATGCACAATAAAGATGCTTTATCCATAACAATACTCCATGTCATGTTTACACCGAACGTCTAATAAATGCCTAAATAACTCGCATACATTACCTTGTACCCACTCTCCTATAATGTCCATAAAGTCCTTCTTAGCTGAGACCGCCTCCGTGGTCTAGTGGTAGAGCGTCCGCCCGGAGAGCGGAAGGTCGGGGTTCGATCCCCGGCCGCGTCATACCAAAATACGTTTAATGATGGTACTTGTTGTTACCCTGTCTGGCGGCGCTCGGGGGCTTTCTGGTCTGCTCGAAGTCAGGACTAGTACACACAGCCACACACACGCATACACGGGCATGCACGTTAAACCCCATTTCACCTCACATCACCTTCTTAACTGAATAAAGGGGCGGTCGGGTATCCTAGTGGTTAAACCGTTCGCTCGTCACGCCGAAGACCCGGGTTCGATTCCCGACATGGGTACAATGTGTGAAGCCCTTTCCTGGTGTCCCCCCGCCGTGATATTGCTGGAATATTGCTTAAAGCGGCGTAAAACCATACTCACTCACTCACTGAACTGAATAACGGCAATCTTATCACAACTGGCTCCACCATGGATATATATATCTAGATACAGATATATGTATCTGATAATAACTAGCTCCATCTGTATGTGTGTATATAACATGTATCCCCACCCTGCTATTCACCTGATGAAGGACCCGTTAAGATCCGCGTTAAAACTGGTCTTCAGCAACCCATGCTTGCCGGGATCGAGTTGCCAGACTCGCTGACTTGGTAGATGCATGTCATCGTATCCCAATACATCAAGTGTGACGGGCGAACGCTTTAACCACAAGGCTGCGACAACGCTCACATTTCCGGTGGAGGTCTAGTTGTGTAATTATTGACCTGGGTGAAATAGAGACAGGGTTTATGTGTAATGAACTGACTTCATCAACATCAACAAATTGAGCTGGATAGCAATTGTGTTTTGATCGATTTTAACGATTTCAATCAAATCTCCTTGACAACCAATTGGCTCCCATTTAGCATACGCTATGGTATCGCCGTTGATGTGTGTATGACATGCGGTATTTCCGTCATCGTGTTCTTTGTTTCCTCTACTTTCATCCAGCTCCATGACGGCGACCTACATATAATCGTGTCTGGACTAGACAATCCAGTGATTCCGATTATTTGCCTCCGTGGTCTAGTGGTAGAGTGTCTATACCTGTTGTTACCCTGTCTGGCGCTCGGCATTAAGGGGCAAAAACAAGGACTTGTCGCATCGGAGTCACTACGGAGTCTGAATGGGGTATCTACCGGGTATGTTAAACTGCGGCATGGTATCTCAGTGGGCTAGCACTATAAAATCGGCATCAGTTCGGACTAGTAAAAACACACACACACACACACACATACGCAAGCACGCGCTTCACCTCACCAATACCGTCGGGGTACACGTCAGCGAACCTGACCACACGTTCAATTGACTGTACAATGGTGGTCCTAGAAGACGTATTCTATCCAGGATCTTAAGACCCACTATATATTGAACCCTTGCTTGAAGTTCTAGGTATTGCAAATACCTCATGTTCAGTCACGTTACAGATGCTTACATATCTCACCAGGGGGCACGGGTGGCCCAGTCGTCTAAGGCGCCGCGATTCGCTGTGCAGTGTTGCGTCCCTTGGGCACGCCAGAGACCTATGATTGTGGGTTCGAATCCCGGTTCGCCCCGATTATGTTTCTAGGTTTGTCAGCACCATACCCGTGCTCGTGGGTTTCACCGAAGTTTCCTCCCACATTAAGCTGACACGCCGCGATATAACTGGAATACTGTTAAAAGCTGCGTTAAACCCAACTCACTCACACTCACTCACATATCACACCTGGGACTTGAAACACGAACGAATTCAGCCCTTTTGTAAATACATTGGTAAAAAGAATTCTTATATTTTGTATGTCCAATCATATGATATAGATATATACAGACCAGACATGATATTTTGACATTATGAATACGAAGGATATATTTAGATTGTCAAGTTGTTAAAGATCAAAAGAACAGATTAAACCATACTGATATTTAACGGTTTTCGGCGTGTGTTTAGTTCTGGTCGATGAATTATGTATATTACCAACCTATACCCCCTGCATTTAATATCAAATAACAAGGGCGGAACACTACCGCATATTCAGAAGCCCGTGAAAGATATATTACAGCAGATAGAGATTCAATGTAATCACTGTATTAAACAAGCAAAACACGTGTTTTATTGGACCCGCTCATGTCTCATCACGCTCGTACAGCAGGCGCTGTTTAAAGAGACTCCTCAGAAAACTAATTCCCACAACACAGATAACACTACAACCCCACCGATATCGTATTAACCCTAAATCCACCAGGGTTCCATTCTACTAAGTGATCTCAGCGCTACGACTATCGTAAGCCTGTGTTAACCAGATACCATATACCGAGTAAATGGTTTCTGAGTTAACGTTTTGCTGATACCATCTTAGCGCTACGATCGCATAATTGAACGGCCCAGGAGAGGCAACCATCGCTAAGAAACCGACCATTTTAGATTTTGAGTGAGTGAGTATGGTTTTACGCCGCTTTTGGCAATATTATCCAGCAATATCACGGCGGGGGACACCGGAAATGGGCTTCACACATTGTACCCATGTCGGGAATCGAACCCGGGTCTTCGGCGTGACGAGCTAACGCTTTAACCACTAGGCTACCCGACCGCCCCTTTAGATTTTGATGGAGTATGGGAGGTGGGCTTAGTGTCTTTATAACGGTCGGTCGGAGGAGGTTTATATAATTTTTAAAATAGAAGCTTAAATCAATAAGCTTTGATGCAATCCCTGTTATATGGTATGTTATATTAGTATTACAAAATAATTATAAGCGGCGATATTCTTGCGAGAGGCGGAGGATGAGTTTTCAAAAATGCTGACATGAATAGTTTTGCCTCAGGTGTAACCTCTAAAAAGTAATTGCTCAATTATACAGCTATTCCTTTTAGAAAAACGTGTCTTGTTGCAGTGAACCCGGGAAGATCCGGATTATTCCGCCTTCAGCATCCCATGCCTGTCGTAAGAGGCGACTAACGGGATAGGGTGGTCAGGCTCGCTGACTTCGTTGATGCATGTCATCGATCCCAATTGCGTGGATCGATGCTCATGATGTCAATCACTGAATTGTCTGGTGCAAGCTTGATTATTTACAGACCGCCGTCATATAGCTGCTATTGCTGAGTGTGTCGTTAAACAAACAAACTTGAAGCAGTGACCCATCCCCATCCTCCAAACTAATTCCAGCATCAGGTCTCGGGTTAATTACAAAATAATATACCTGAATTTTGATACATGCAAAATGCGAGATCCTTGCTTGTACAGTGAGTTTAATGTTATCAATACGTACGTATTACACTCGCAAGGGTTAATTTGTGAACAGGTCATGTAAAGTGTTTTTTATCTCCCACAACCTGGCCTACTGGCTACGTCAGTCAACATGGCCAACGGCTGCTACCAACCAGAGAAGTATGTTTGCACCTACCACATGTATATTCCG